CCTGAAATTTGTTTGAAATTAAATAACTAAATGATATGATGTTATTTAAAATGATCATCTCCTTTTCACTATAGAGTCCAAGTTTGCATGGTATATTGGATATGTCTGAATTAATGTTTAAATATATGTTTAGGTAAACTGTAATTATCAAGTTGTAGTAAGTTTATCTTTCAAGATTGTTTTGTTGCTCTTCTGAACAATATAGTTTTTATACATGTATGTATGTAATTTACAATTATGTTTGTTTATTGAGATAAAGTTGCTTTACATCATTGTATTTGTTTTAGGGTCTGCATATTTTTGTGACTTGCCTCCGGAATAACTTTAAATCATATACAAGAAAAGTCAGTCTCATCCTGAGCCATGTTACAATTTTTTTTTTAAAAAGATAACCCTCAAAGTACACAGGATATACCTGGAAAAAGTATGAATTTTTACCTGGAATTGACATTTATAATCTTTGAGCTCATGGATTTGAGATAAAGATTCCATAATATAGCAAAAGAAAGGTTTCGTCAGAAGTGCTAGTCATACATGCGATTTAAAATTTCCAAGTGACCACATCAGAACAATTTAAGAACATGAAATTAAGTATTTTATTCAGCTCAAGGTATTGAAAACTAAGAGACCCGTGGCAAGTTGGAGTAACTGAGATGATCATCTCAACATTTAATCCATATAAAAATTACTGTGGTATTTTGCTTTTTTTTTAGTCCTTTCTGTTTGAAACCCAGGTGTCCTTTACACTTAGAATGCGCTTCAGCTGAGGCTGGCTTTGTTTCAAGTGCTGCTTGTCACTGGTTGCTACCACAGATCTAGCCTCCTGTTAGAGGTCAGCCTGGGGTCTCAGGCCTAGAAAGGCCTCCCTGCGGGATTGGCCGCTCTCCTGGACTGTCTGTGTATGTTCTTGTTGCCCCAAGATGCTCTTGGGCCACTGCCTCGTGTTCAGCTGCCCTTGTCACTGCTGGTTTGAGGGACTGACGTTAGCCGGGCTCCCTGGCCTGGTGCCATCCTTCCTCTGTGCTTCATTTCTTCACATCAAGTCCTTGCATGCCACTTCCATATAATTCAAAGCTTCTGTGGGCTGGGATCCAGTGACCCAACCCAAACAGGAAACTGACTTTCTCATTGTTTATTTGTAACCATGAAGCAGAAAATGTTGGACACTTGTTCTTAGTGCTTTGAGCTGGGACCGAATCGAAGCTCAACTATTTCCACTGGGGTCTTCCAATGTGGAATGATTGAGAGGTTTCAGCTGTTAGATCAAAAGGGCTAATTAGAATAGGAATTGTTCCTAGCTCTGATCATTATCACTGGCTGTCTCACCCTTTGCTTAGAATCTTGTTAGAGGCTATAAAACCTTGTGTAAGGTGGAGGAGATTCCTAAAGTATTCTGGGGACATTCCAGTCAGTATTCCACAAAGTAGCACTGTGTAAAAGATTCTGGTGTTGGTCTGTTCCAAATTCCTTTGTGAATTCCATAATAGACAGCCCTGCTGTCACTCTGTGGCTCTCTCCGGTGTTGCTGGGATGCTTAGGTCTGTACGTGGTGTGGTGGAACATTATCTCACTGTGACCAACATGCTGCTGGCCGAACAGTTGTTCCTCCTGCTTTTGCAGCAATGTGGCAGAAAACATCTACCACAGGGGCTGCTTAGGGCATCTGCTGCTCTCTAGAAGCTGACAGTGCTAGGTGTGTGTGTTCTCAGCCTCCTTTGTAGTCAGGAATAGCTGTATGACTCAGTTCTGCCAAAAGTCTCAAGTAAAAGTATTCTGGGGCTCTCCTGAGGAAGACTTTCTCCTCCACAGAAGAGAGACAATGACAAAATGACTCTTTCGCAGATCTGGTTGCCTCTCTTCTTTCTGATAGGGTTCTGATGTTTGTAACCAAGGCGGCTATTTTGTGGGCTTGAGGCAGCAAACGCAAGGGTGAAAGAAAGTGAAGTCTTCTGAGGATGCTGAAAAAGATGAGAAGGGTGGAAAGAGGCTGCGTCCTGATGACTTCATGGAGCAGCTGAACCAAACTTGGAACAGAACGTCCTACATTTTGGAATGAAACTCTGGTTATTTTAAATCAGGTATTCTGTTACTTGCAGCCAAAACATCCTAACTGCTAAGGATGCCTGTAATTTAAAGATAAGTACTTTTTTCTGCCTCTTAGAAGGAAGAGGTCACAGGCATACTTGTTCCTCAACCTTGTGCTTGATTACAGCTTACTCATCCTCATCACCATATTACTCAGTTTACTCTGACTTGTCAGTCCACCCTGAAGGTTCTTGTGAGGGAAGAGATTATGCCTATCTGGTTAATTATGGCAACCCCAATTCCCAATATGTGGTAAATTGTCACTCAATAATTACTTGCAGCTAATGAATGGAATGGGGGCTACCAGGAAGATATTTTCCATAGTGTCTAGAGGTAAAGGAATGAATCAGAGATGGCATCCTGTATCTGACCTGCATTGCTGGCTGGAGGGTGGTACCTTCCCCATGAGTCAATGTGGGAGGGAGAGCAAAAGACTTTGAAGTAGGTGAGTTTTCTCTTAGATGTGTTGAAATTGAGGTATTTTTGAATAGTCCTTGTGCACAGGTGAACACACAGTCTAGATTGAGGCTTGAGAGAGACAGGATTAGACAGTAGAATGTGCAGCATGAAGAATGACTCCCATCCCATTGTGTATTGCTACCACCCACCTTTGTCCGAGCCGGAAATCAAGACATCCTCCTTGGTTGTTTCCTTGTCCTCATCCCCCACATCAGTCTATTTCTCACACTCATAAGCTTTTCTCCACACCCCTCACCCCACCTTTGGAGTCCAAGACACTACTGCAATGGCCTTCTCATTGTGTTTCTTCATCCACTTCAACACCCCTTCATTGACTATATTCAGCCACATCCAGCTTCTCTCTCTTTGAAATCATCAATTGCGTTTTTTAAAAAGATTTTATTTATGCATACAGAAATCAGGTACAGGTCAGAGATGCAAGGCCAGTGAGAGTATCCACCAGAAACAGAGTGGGGAGCAGACACAGGCAGATTGACAAAGTACACTGCTGAGGGAGCAGCGGGAGAGACAGGAGAGGTCTGCCTCGCCAATGGATCACCTCAGGGCCTGGATCGAACTTGCACTGAAGCAGCTGTGGCTTGGCTTAGCTTCACAGTGCAGTGCTCCAACCTGCTGAGCCACCAGGGAGGCCCACTTTCATTCTTAAAGCCTTTCTCCATCGGCTTTCCACCAAAGCATCACCGCTCTATCCTTTGCCTCGCCCCCAAGCCCACTCTCTTGTTTAGGTCTATGCTTTATTTTGCAAACCTAAACACTAATACCTCAGGAAACTCTTCCCTCACTCCCCCTTACCCATCCACCTTTGTAGCTTCAGAAATTTAACTTTGTTGGAATCCCATTGGGTGATTTGGCTTTTGGTAACCTATATGGGCAAATAAAACTTTAAAAGATTTGCCATCAAAGTTAAATTATTAAATAAAGGATAACTACTAAGGATCAGAGACTTGTTTTGATGGTCAAGGGCATTTTTTTCTCTAGCAGGACGCTAAGAGTAGCTTGTGAACACGAACCAGACAAGGGGCATTAGCTGCTTGGTCTAAATGATTCTGTTTGCCGGGCGTTGATACCTCAGTATCAGGGTCTCCCTTAACAAGTGTTCTTGGGCTACCTCCTCTCCCCTCCACCATTGCTGAAGATCCCTGCCGATGTTTGCTTCTAACATTAAGCTTCAGTAGTTGACCTGATGCCTCTCAGACTTGCTTGAGGTGATGTTAACACCTACCTGATTAATATTTAATAAGACTAAGGTCAGACTTAGAATCAATCTTTTCTTTTGGAGAACTTGATGTATGTCTCTTCAAATCGATTGTACTTTATATTTCGATTTTAGAGCTGTAAAAGAAATCTTTTATTGGAATTACAATCTCCTTTGCAAGTAGTATTTCCTACATTTATTTAGGTGCTGATTGTTCTTGCAAATGGAACTCTGTAGCCTTAAAGTTACAAGCTGCTTAATGATGTGTGAATGCAGACTTAGGGAGACTGAACCCTAAAAATTAAAAGTCTTTTAGAAGTTGTTAGGTTGTGGGGATGACTGACAATATTTGTATCATAAAACTTTGGTCTATGTTTGGCAACCTCAAAACTTGTTGCAAGCTTGCTGCGAGAAGCCCTCATGGAAATTCCTGTCACCAATGGAACTTAACCTCCATGCAGGGCAGGCTGACAGGTGTCATGGGTAAGGAGCAAGCCAGCACCTGTATCTCCTAAAGATACAGCATGTGTGGAGTTTTCAGCAGGAGAGCCTCAAAATTTTGGTTTTCTACCTGCAATCAAATGGGACATCTGTGACCAGATCACGTGTATAAATTTATTACCCAGAAACAATAGGTGGGAGAGGTTTTGTTTGGACAGAGGGCACTCCAGTGGGGCCACACCATTGTGGCTTCTGTGCTTCCTGTTTGGGTTGCTTTTGAAGCTTGGAGTAAATTTCCACTCTTACCATGTTTTAGTAAGAATATGCTAATGGTGGATGAAAGGAGGTAGACATGTATCAGAGAGGAGGACAAGCACCCCACCTTCAGTCTCAGGATGAGCATTCTGGGAATGCTCTAGAACATGGACCCCCTCATCAGGTAGTGCCCCAGGTCAGCCCTGATGGGAATGCAGGGAAGCTGTTAGGATACTCACGTCCTTGTGCAGAATATGTCCTGATGGGCCCTTAGTAGCCCTTTCCTGTCCTAAGTGAGAACCATGCTGTTGAGACGCTATCTGGTGGGTGGGCCCCTCACCCTGCAACTGCACAGGGCTTGCTCAGTTTCACAGCTGCTGTTGCCGAGGATAAGAAAGGCCTAAGGATTCTAGCACATCCCAATAGAAACAATCCATACTTGTGTGTGTGTGTTCATATACATGCTGGCTATAAGAGGCAGGTAGAACTTTTAAGCAAAATTTATACAAAACCGAGTTGTGAGTATAATTTATTCATAGGCTGATGTAGAAATTTGTTATACAGATAAAAGAATACAAATGCTTCCTAAGAAAACGAATAAAATACTTAATTTTATGGTAGTAGTAACAAAAAATAGCTTGAGAAAATTAATGCCACTTAAATTAGACAATATACAATGCGTGAAACGTTCCTGTTTATCCATGGGTGTGTGTGCAAATGGAGAGAATTGTGCCCTGCACACACCAGCCGGGGTCTGCTCCACACAGCCAGGGCCCAGACCTTCCACCTGGGCTTATCTTTGGTTATGTTGCTTCTGTTCCCCCTGCAACGCTGCTGCACGAACTCCCTCACAGGGAAGATTTCAGTTCACACACTGAACATTTGGCTCTCCTCCAGGAATAGATGTGAAGGAAACTATGACAGTGGCAAATTGGTATCACAGGCTTTGGACCCAGGGCTTTGTAATGTGACAGTGTTTCCTGAGAAAAGAAGTGAACTTCTTCCTGAAATATTTGTAGCTTGCTTTCCTTCTCCTGGTCATTCAGGCAGCGAGCTGTGCATTTTGCATAGAGCACTGCCAACCCAAAGAGGGAAAAACCTTCAGGATTCCGCTGCTTCCCTTTTTAATCCTCCAAATTCCAAACTGAGTCCACTGAAAAGGAAGGTGAGAAGCACGACTCCACCTTCTTCAGCACGTTATAGCATCTTTCTAGAACTGATAGTTTTAAAGTTAAACACACACACACACACACACACCAGGGGAATCCTTTTACCTGAACTACTTTACTTTCCTTTACCTGAACTACTTCTGGTGATTCAAATCCCATTGTTTTCCAAGGAAACTAACATACTGTGTACAGGAAAGCATGTTTCAAAGAAATTCAACTTCTAAATACCCAGACGCAATCTGTGTCAGTGCTTAGAACACATAAGACAGATGCAAATGAATTGAAAACGTGGCTTTCAGCAGCGATTCTCTGCATCCATGGCATTTCCACAGTGAACTTAGGGAAGAAATAAAAATAGCCATGCTGAGTGTTTTATAAAAATGTAGCTAATGATCTAGAAACAGCTAAACCGGGAACTTATTAAAAAACAAATCCATTCTCATCTGGAAAAACAAAACAAAACCAAAAAAAAACCCTCAAAATTTCTTTTGCTTTTTTAAGAAGTGTCAATATGGAATAATCTTGATTGGTACAATCCCTTCTTCCTCCTGCAGCCCTGTCCGCCTGAACAAACCCGACCATTACCCGTAAGCACATCCCCGCCCCACCAGGCAGCCTCGAGCTCCTGCTAAGGACAGGGGACAAGCCCAGCAATCAGCTGTACCACGTCTATGATCGCTGTAATGTATCCACTGGCATTGATTTTAACAACCTACCTGCTTATCTGAGAATTCTGGGTTGACTTTGATTTTGTGACTTGGAGTCACTTAAGGCTTAATTTTTAATACTGTTAACGTCATCTAGCCCATCAAGCCAAGACTATCAATAATTACAAGAACTAGCCCTGATCTCACTTCCTCTTTTTGTTGGGGCATTTTAACCTCACAAATATATTACAGTCTTAGTGCCAGCACGCCCCTATGGTTTATCATTCCATAGCCAGAATGCCTCGCTGGACATGTAGCTCACACGTTTGAGGGTGTTCTTGGAGGCTGAAATAAAAATACAATTTGAGCATAAGAACAGATCATCGATGGGTTAGTATGAAAGTTGACACTAGTGGAAATGATTGTTGGCCGAGATCCTGGAGTCCGTTGGCACAGAAGTTCGAGGTGCTTGGTGACTGTGGCCAGGGGAGGTGGCCGCTGTCACAATGGGCTTTCTGACATCCTTTTCTTGGCTTGCAGGTAGAAGATGCGGTTTTCTTCAGGATAAGTGATTTTACTGAGGGGCATCCTGTAGATGTTGGGGTTTTTGGTGGTCACCAAGAGGAACAGTAGCGTGGCCAAGCAGAAGGGCCAGGTGCAAGCTGGCAGTCCGACCTAGGGAACGAGACAAGCAAGGGCTCCTTATGCTAATTCACACAAAGTGTTGCCTTTCACCCTTCAGCCCACAGAGATGCGGGCAGTTGCAATGTCGTCATCCATCATTTTCTAGAGTTCTGTCTCCACTGTCCTTCCCTCTGATCCATTTTGACTTGACACACCAGCTGACATGAGGTGCACAACTGATACCGAGCCAGCCCCTGATGCCTCCCGACCATCATCACATCCACAAGGCCTCCTCTGACTAGTTCACCTTCAGGGCCCTCTCTCCTGACTTCCTCCTAGACTAGATCTCGGACTCTTGCTTATTTTCATGTTGGATCCCAACAGACTAAGCATTTTGAGTATTGGCAATGCATGAAGTTCTGTGCATATACCATGTTCTTGGTTAGATCTGGTTCTAGGCATGGACCCCCAAGGGGGAAAGTATATCATAATCAGCTGAAGGAATCTAAAATGCAAATAGTCAAGCACCATCTATGATCTGGTCTATCAGGAATGTCAGGGAGTTAAGGATCTGGATTTGTCAGTCTTGCTAGCTGATTTTGGCTCATGGACTGTTATCTGAGTTAGTTGGGGTACATGGGGCCCCCTTAATGCTCCATCCTCTCCCCTCATGTCTGTAATGGGGCTTTGACTCTTCACCATAGATACTGGATCTCCAGAAGGATTCATATGAAACCATCTTGACCTGTTAGCGGCCATGGCACATGGGCTGAGCCAGCAGAAACTGGCCCTGCATCACCTGCAAGGGCAGGTAAGGAAAAGAATAATGTTTAGGGTGCTGGGAGGTGGGGGAGCCTACTGCATGTGATACTGGGCTCCTCAGGGGAGAGCAGGAGAGTGTTACGGAAGAAGAATGGCAGGTGACAGTGATTTTGTCTGTTAAATATGGGACATGGGTCTGAACAAGTTACAGATGACTGACCAGGGATTAAAAAAAAAAAATAGGAAGGGCTGTGAAAAACTGAAAAATTACTGACTTCATTTCGGAAAATGAGTCTTTAGACAATTATCCTAGCCAATTATCCTTTGTCCTTCTCTGTTCTTTCTCAACTACTATATAGTCCTGGTGTTCTGTTTATCTGAAATATTCTAAAGTCAGCTTCTGACACATAAGCGTATGAACCTGTTATACAACTAAGTTCTGCTCCTTTCAATCAAGTACTCTATTTTTAGTAAGCCTGGTGATTGAAGTATGGACTAAAAATTTGTTGTAAGGCCAGCAGTAACAGTCGTCAGGGTCATGGATCCCACCAGGGACACCTAGGTGGCTGTCAGGAGGGTTTCCATACAATTGAAAACTGATGAGTTGTCAGCTGTTGAAGTGGGGTGAAAGCATACTCACCACAGCCATCAGGTGGGCCAGACTGGCTCCCAGGTAGGCAGTGAACAGGGCTACGGTAAAGGAGGAAATAACAGAGCTTAGTGCCTTTCCTACAGGGGAGACTGCCTCCCGCTAGCATCACTGGGATTGGGCTCCATGTCTTGCCAGCTAGCCTGGTGGCAAGTCTGACTTTAGGGTCACCAGCTCACCTGTGTCATGGAGGGAACCGGAATCGCTCTCTCTCATGGTTGGTGTGAGTATGTACAGACATCACACTGTGCTTGATACACAGTAAGTACTTAGTAAAGTTTGCTTTTCTCTGGTTGCTATTTGGTTGCTGTTAGTAATACATAAGGCTTTCTGTGGCAGGCAAACTATTTTACCCAAGCATTGCTGAATTAAAACTTCTGGATGTTTCTTTTTACACCTGCGGTTCTCAGATTACTGGTTAGTACTCAGTTATAATGAGGCATGGTATACCAACATGAGGGAGTTAACTCAGATTAGAAGAAACTGAATGCAAGTTTGGATATTTCTCCATGACATTTTACCAACTATCACTGAATTAACATTTTATTTTGAAAACAAATCTTAGAGTAGGTAGACACACTCAGCAGCTTGTCTCCATGTCAAGTCCCCTCTACTACCTTGGGGGGTTGGTAATGCTAAGGCCAGAGCCCCAACGCAGGGAAAGCCTGCAACTCTGATTTACTATAATCGGCTATTTATCTGGCTCTTTTCTCTTGAATAGGACGCCTAACTTCAGACCGGATAACCACGCTACTGGAAGGCCCTGGTTTCAGACTGCAACTCGCCATCACCTCCCATAAAAAGGCAACTGGAAGACCTGCTTTCCAGCGAGGTGAGGAACCTCACCTGAAATCACATTTTCCACCGCCCCGCTGTGAGCTCAGCATGGCCACCAGGGAAGAGAGACGTGGCTCTAGTGGAAGGAAGCTCCCCCTAGGCAGAGTGTCTATACTGTCCCCACTTTCTTGTCAGCTGCAATTCCTCTCATTTAAAATCCTATTGCACTTCTGCATGTGTTTGGGACTCAAATGTCATGTGACGCCATTAGACTCTCCCATCCTGCTGCTTCTCTCTCCCAAGTAGGAGTGTCACGTTCTCTAACAGTGCCGGGGGCAGCCTCAGAGTGGAAGCAGACTTCTGCACCCTGTGGCTTGCAGGTGAGGTCCCCGGTAGTGTGCTGGCAGCCGAGGGAGAGAAGGGGCCGGTGAGCCAGAAGGGAAGACTGGATTTCAGCTCTTCCTGAACAGTACTCCTCTCAGTCAACCTCCATGTGCAAGTCCCACTATGATAACCCAACTGTGGAAAAGATAAGGAATCTGCCCCGTTTGAACTGATAAGATAATAGCCCAGGTCTTTCCTGGCCTGCAGGCGCTGGTTTGGGGAAAGGCAGCCTGGCCAGGTTCTAGCTGAGTTTCACAAGTCTTCATCCAGATAACGCTATTTATCTGAACTAATAAAAGAGCAGTTTTGTAAAATGTTATCTGTTTACTTTGGCTGACGAGTAAGATTTGGTCTTTTGTTTGGCAGTATCAGGGTGATGTGGCAGGCTGAAACTTGCTATGATATTTTGCATGTGAGATTACATTTATACTTTACAAGAGACGATAGAAGTTTGGCTCAAAAATTCATATTCAAAGATGAAAAAGACTGCCAGTGTGAATGAGACAGGCACCAACACACAGCTGGGGGCAGGGGTAGCTGGTACTGCCTTTGCGGGGTGGTTTTGGCATTGGGGTCTGCGGTCTTACCCAGTGCAATCCACTTCCCCCACTCACCGTGCTGCAAAGGAAACCTCCCTCCAAAGGGAGTTATAACGGCAGGGTGGGTGTCACTACCCCCGACATGTCCATGTCTGAACCCCCAGAAGCTGAACATGGCAAATGAGACTTTAAAGCTGTGACTAGCTAAAGCTCTGAGCTGGGGGTTATCCCGGATGTCTCAGTGGACCCAAGGTCATTACAGGATACTTGTGAGACGCAGCGAAAATTTTATCTAGGGAGCAGGGTGGAGGGTGTATTTTTACTTCCTGCTTTAGACACCTTGGTATTGACTGAATTCTCATTTGCTTTGTACTATAAACTTAGACCTTCTATAACAAAAAAATGAAGATATTTCTGCTTTGGGGAATGCATCTGCAAACCTCTTTGGCTTCATCCCTCTGTTCTGTCAATGCCTCACCAATGATTGCACAAACAGCTCCTGCTTGATCTTTAAGGATGTGGCCAGGCCTGGAATGACCCTTTTTCCCCTCCAAATAGAATCCTTCCTCTCAATTTTTAGGACTTATGGGAAAGTTACCTTTTCTAGGTGATGTTTCTGGGTGAGTCTAGCTGGACTCCCCCAGAGACCCTTGTTCTGCTGGCTCCTTGTTTTGCTCCAGGTTGTGTGCAGTCTCCTGAGGTTCTCTCAGACTACCCTGCACTAGTTCTTCTGCATACAAGAGCTGGACATAAGCTAAAGCTTATAAACTTTCCCATAGGCAATATCACGAGTAGTTAATGTAGATTTACTGATACGACCAACACAGAAAAATAAAGGTATGTATACCTCCCCAAAAAGGTTTGAAACCTCAAATCTCAGCTTCTAACCCAGCTGAGCTCAGGTGGCCACAACAACTTGTCCATTACTTTCTGAGCAAAGGATCTTGACAAGGCTATTAGGATCTTGACAAGGCTATTAGGTAAATAGCTACCTGACTACAGAAATAAACAATGACATGCAAATGGAACACCACTGCTTTAAAATCAACCTTTCTACAGCATTGGAAAACCATAATTGACTCAGGCGTTAGAACCCTTTCATTAATCCTTCAGCCTAATGCAGGCATCCATCCTGGCACGTGGTCCCTCATCTTAGTTTAGATACCTTAGGCTGATTAATCTGGTGATAAACTGACTCTGGACAAACATTTCCATTAGCTTAGAATATCCCCTCTGTCCCCTGAGCCTGTCTTCCCATTGCCTTGGCACTCGATCTTAAATACTTTCACTAGTATTGACTTAGGGATGCCAGAGGATGTGGGTGAAAGTACTTCCCTTTATCAGGGCCTACAAAAACCCATTAGCTTTTCAAATCCGAATCACGTGAGGGGCTGACTGCTACTAAAGGAAAGCAGAGTGGACGCTGCTCCGAGGTCATTAGCAGATGTGGAGTCTGGGTTTGCATTTACCGCTGACTGGGTGCCTTTCAGCATATCTCTGGTCTCAAGCCCCTAGGAGTAAAGTAAGATGAACTAGAGATCTGTAGACCTTCCCCTCCCCAGCTCTGACATGAGTCAGGGGTCAGCAAGGATTAATACGGGAGTTTTCAAAGTATTTTCTAGAGCAACTGCATCAGCCCTCCTGGCCCTTGTTAGAAATGTAAACAGCGCCTCCCCCGCACTGAGGATGGCTGGGCCCAGCAATCACTCCAACACACCTGCCAGGTGATTCTGATACACACCCATGAGTGTAACAGCTGAATTAACAATTCATCGGATTCTCAGAGGGCCACATGAAATACTGCCTGGTGCACCAGGGGAAATGACTGTAGTTAGCCTATATTCTGATTGTCGAAACTCAAAAGGAAAAAGATCACAGGTTAAATTTCTATCCCCAAATATACACACATATTGTAAAATGGTTAACATGACTCAAGAGGCTCTCCTGTCTTCACAATAACCAGTGATGCAGGCAGAGCAGCCTTGAACCCTCCCAGAGGAGACACCACTTGCCCTAGTCCCGGTCTTAGTGAGCAGAGGCCCAAACTAGAACCTCAACTCTAGTTTCTCATGGAGTCCCTGATTTGGACCCCATAGTCACAAACAAGTACACCCCTCCACCTCCCACCTGCAGATGTACAGGACACTCACCGCAGGCCAGAGCCAGGAGGTGGGTTTGCCAGGTGAGCGCCATGAACATTCCTCCCATCGCAATGCAGGCCAGGGAGCTGTTGAAACCCCAGAGTCCGAAGTAGATGTTCTCAAACGGAGACGAGAGACTGAGTCCTATTAGGCAAGGCAGGAGGGGTCAGAGCTGGGGCTAGGGGCAGGAGCGCCCAGGAATCTGATGGTTGGGGGGACAGACGGTGGGAGGAGCGTAGGAGAACGTGCAAGCAGACACCTCAAGAAAGAACTGGTCGGGGGCGGTGCAGGGGCGAGAGGAGGGGCTGTGGGCTTAGTACGGGCCCCCTGCCTACCTGCCGCTATACCCAGCAGAGCTCCGATGGCGGCGTGCAGGCACATGAGCGGGGAGGAGAGTAGGATGGCACACAGGAAGATGCCCCCTGCCCACGGGTTGTCACAGCCGTAGATCTGACCAACTCCCACCGGCAGGGATTTCAACAACTGCAAAATGATTTAGAAAATGAGATCACTGAAACTACAGAGACCCAGAGGACACCCACAAACACGCAGATTCACAAAATCTTATCTTTCAAGAACAGTGTCACGAATTTAAAAAATACACCCTTTAACTACAGAAACATTCCAGTCATTCTGTTTTTACTTTGGGAGATATACCAGCCCCTCCCTGAAGCAGACTTTCTCAAACCACCCCCTTTATTTACTGACCTATGGCTTGGTGGACACTTGGCCCTCGTGGCTGATAAACAGGATGGGACCCGTGTCCCCCACCGTGAGGATGGCAGGGACCACCACTTACACTGCTATTGCTGTCATCTGCCCATCAGTGCTGAGGCCAGTACGTCAATGCAGCTTTTTATCTTTATGGATAATCAAAGTTTTATTACTCCCTCACAATCAAGGATAATGCCAAGGCCAGAGACTCCAAGCTGGCTTAGCCACAATTCAGAAGCAACTATCAACAAATTCATGAATCGGGACCATGTCTATACTTCTCTTGTTAACAAGTCATGCACTAAAGCCAGTTATCAATGACTGTCAAAATAAAAAATACACATTAGTTTCTTACTTCTACTTTCTCATTGAGGCCAGAATTCAGCTAATCTGTTCACAGAATGGCTGTACTCAGGAAGCAGGGCTTGCCTCAAGTTTGACTCATCCAAAAGTAGGTTATTCCAGCTTACTAGGATTTGGGAGGTTACTTTGGGGGATTGGGAACACTAATGCCACTCATTTCTCTGGAACATTTTCGAGTTCCCAGACCCCCAAAGTAACATATTACATAATTCCAAACAGAAATGTTCTACTTTTGGATAGTGGGGGAAACCTGTAGTTCCTTATAATGATCCTTCTGGTAGGGTAAGGGAGCCGCCATTAGCCATCTTAGTTCTGTTTGACCAGAGCCATTTACTGACAGATGCTTTCTCAACCTCTCCATACTGCTCCCTCCAATTTCTCTAGGTCATACGCATACTGTTTGTCTAGGAACTTAATAAAGTCACCCCCACCCCAAACAAGGCCAAGTTTGTAGTGTCTGACTCTCAGTAGAGCTACACTATGGAGTCAGCACGGGAGGTCTGCAAAACATAGGGCTGAAAAATTAGCTTTGACTAAACAGTTGTCTTTAAAAATCCTTTTGATCCCAAGACCTTGGAACAGAAGAAATGCTTCAGACAGCAAGGAGCAGGCAGCTAAACCAGCCTGAACTGAGTCCCTGTTGGGCTCTGATGCCCATGACCAAGTCACCAGGAGGACACTGGGTGACTGTCAGAGCAGCGGTCAGAGCCAACAGCACATCTTACCTTCAAGGCACTCAGGTCCGACCAGGTGACATTGGGGACTGAGGTTATAGGTGTGAACAGTTTGGTAGGGAAGAACGGATTGTAATGTCCCGTGGCCGAAAGGTACATTGACAACGCCATGTTGAAGGGCAGTGTGAAGACAGGGAGGTCCCACTTGCAGAACACGGAGCTCAAGGCACTTGAGAAAACTGGGCTTGAAACATAACAGCAGATGAGCATGCACGTGACAAGCCAGGGTGACAAACTGCATCTCTGTTCTTTGGAGGGGCTTTGTTTCATGGGCAAGGATTCCCCAAACACACACACATACACGCACGCACAACCAACCCATACCCTGGGGGTAAATCCTATCACAGAATAATTCTGCTATTTACTAAAAAGTTAACTTTAGCTTGTTTAGCTTTTGAGAAATTACACTCTGGGGCTGCTCACAGGCCAGAGGTGCAGGGGCGGTGAGAGGATTCACCAGAGACAGAGTGGGGAGCAGAACAGACAGACTGAAGAAGTACACTGCTGAGGGGAGCAGCGGGCGGGTCAGGAAAGGTCTGCTGCGCCATGTGGGTCACCTCCGGGGCCAGGGATCAAACTCGCACTCAAGTGGCTGCGGCTGGCTTTCAGTGCTGCATCCTAACCTGTTGCGCCACCAGGGAGGGCCTCCACCAATCTTTAATGTATTTACTTCTGAAAAAGAAACAATTGTCCAGAGGAGGATGCAGGTAGTGTGGGCCCGAGGAGAAAGATTTTAAACTTAGAAGGGCTAAAACGAGAGTCCTTGGCGCTGTGACTGAGGGTGAGTCATTCTTTTTAGTGAACTGGGGGTTTGGATTAGGCGGTCTTGGGGCGCCTCCTGCACTCATTTGATGACCCAATCAAGGAGGCATCACTCCAAGGCCAGATTTCCTGGATGCGGGGGCTGGGCAGGGAGCGCCACAGGCCCCGCCTCCTGCCCCTGAGCCTGGTGTAGTCAGGGGAAGTCACCACGCTCCTGCACAGCTGTCTCTGCAGGCAGGGAGGCCCCCAGACACCTGCTGTGCACCCTGCCCTCCCAGGGACTCTCCCCAGAGATCACGCTTCTCATCTGGGCGGGTGTTAATTTTCCAACTCTGAACACTCTATAGTGAGAAGGGAATACTTACAAAGAAAGGACAATGCCAGCAGAGAAACTGGTTTGGAGGATTTACGTTAAAGAAAAAAGACGTTTTGAAGGGGAGGGCAAGTGGTAAGAGTTCATAAAGGCACAGTGATTTTCGAAGAGGGAGTCCTGGGTCAGCCCCGTCAGCCTCACCCAAGACCTTTTAGAAAAGCACACTCCAGGCCTCAGGCCCAGACGGACGGAGTCAGAAACTCTGACCAGGGAGCAGTAGGTCCAGCAGGCCTCCTGACAGTTACACATTTGGGGGCCACTGAGGCAGGCCGTGCAGCTCTACTGTGGTTGTGTTTAAAAACTCTGGGGGGCCCTGAAAACCAACACCATGGCAACACCCTAAATGAGTGACATCAACTGGGGGAGGGGGTGAGGCGTGTGTGGTGTGTGGAGGCCCCTGTATCGCGTGTCTTAACTGCAATTCCAACAGGCAAAACCGCTATTTAAATTTTTCTAAAAATTGTGGATTAGAGCCAGGGAGCTGACCCAAGCCATGCACCAGACCTCTCCTGACCCGCCCCTGCTCCCCTCAGCAGTGTATTTCAGTCGATCTGCCTGTTCTGCTCCCCACTCTCTGGTGAATCCTCTCACCTTCCCCCACCTGTGGTCTGTACCCCAGTTCCTGTATGCATACATAAACCTTTAAAAAATAAAATTGTGGATCAATATATACATAAAAATTTGAACCATTTTATGATTGGGTGGCTGGGAGCACCTCACTGTTGCACAACCATCACCTCTGTCCACTCAGCAAACACTTCTCATCTTGTAAAATCCAAACTTACACCCATGGAACAGCAATTCCCTCACCGCCTCTCCCGCCATTATTTCAAAAAACATTTTGAGGGGCCCTCCTTGGTGGTGCAATAGGTTAAGCACAGCACTATAAGGTTGTCCACAGCCACTGCAGCACAAGTTTATCCCCAGCCAGGGAGCTGACCCACGTGGCGCAGCAGACCTCTCCTGTCCCCCGCTGCTCCCCTCAGCAGTGTATTTCAGTCAATCTGCCTGTTCTGCTACCCAATCTGTCTCTAGTGAACCTCTCACCACCCCTGCACCTCTGGCCTGTACCCCAGTTCTGTAAGCATAAAAATCTTAAAAAGAAAAGAAAAAACCATTTTGGAAACCAGGTGCAGGTGCTACTTACCAAGTCATAGACATAACAGATACAGGGACCAGCAGCCACCAGAAGTAGTTCCCTTTGTCGGAAAAGACAGCCATGAGGATCCCCACCAGGGTGGCGTTGTAGCCCTGGAGCCCTGCTGCAATGGCGGACCTGGGGTGGGGGGTGAGGCACAGCAGGGGTCGGTGGAGGGACACCCATAGCTCCCACATTTTACCACCTCAGACAAGGAGGTTCCACTCAGTCATTCCCTTTAAAGCCTAGAGCTGTATTGCACCCATACTTATAAACAGGAAAAGTAACAGATGCAAATGCAAATGTACACTTAGAGCGACCCCCCATGTGGGTCACAGCCCAAGATAGAAGTCTAGCATCTAGGCAAGGGGAACTGGCAAGGCAGCCTGTGCAGTTCCTTTTAGCTTTTCCTTTGCAAAGTTATTATTTCTTTTAAATCATTAAAGGCCACTGACTTGAATAGAGCTTTCAGATGAAGCTGTTTCCTAAGTCTGATTTTCTTGGTGCAAGATGTAAGATTCTTGAAACAAAAATTCACTTTTAAGTGTCTTTGAACTTATAAACACTAAGCGCTCAACTTAGCATACATCTGTCTGTGCTTCCATTTTGCTGTCTTGAAATAGACAGTTCCAAGTTATTGCAGAGGAAAACAGTAACTTTTCTTTGGCAGAGCATTCCAATTATGTGAGTATTGGGCACCTAATTCTCTCTCGGTCCCATTTTGCTTCTTAGCATTTAACCTGACTTCTAAAATTTGTCTTACAGCTAAGTTTCTTCTCCTGGCCCAAAGGTTCCCATTTCACACCTGCAAACTAGAAACCCCAGGATGAGAGATGAAACACTTTCCATAGAATCAATCAAAACTGACAAGTCAGACCCTCCAAGGTTCCCCATGAAGGGCCCAGCATGGCTTCTGCCCTTAAGGCTGAAGTCTGAGGGGGAGGAGGTGGGTCCATGTGATGATGAAGTGGCTGGGTGGGGGCCAAGCAGGACCGGAGCGGGAGGTGATACAGGCTGTGAGCCATGGCACAGGGTGGGACTGGATGGCGTGAGAGCCTCTAGTTGGCTTGTTTCTGACAGGAGCGGGAGGCACCCGTGGAACAGCAAGATGATGTCACTTCCATTCATCTGGGCGAGAACAGAGAGGTGGGACTCCTGTTCAAAAGTCCTTTGTCTCCCTAAAATAATCCTTCAGACATGTGGGAGGTGAGGCAATGTTGGTTTAACCCAGGAAATAATAATGCCCTGCAGACACTGGTCAGTGCACTAGAGTGCTCTGCAAAGACTTACCCCCTCAACTTGGGGGATCAGCAGGACCATGTCTGCAAGTGGGGGTGCCCTAGTGAACGCAACAGAACAATGTGCCTTCACTTGAAGCAGAAGACTGTTGTCTTAATGGGGTTCCTTTAGGATCAAGGAAAGGAGAAGAGGTTTGGAAACAAGATGTGTAAACATGGTCTGTCTGCTAACTAATACCTGGTAAAGAAAATGGGTCAATGCTTGGAGTGAAGCAATGAAGGAGGATTCGAAACAGCACAATTTTGGACCCACCTCTAAACTGGAAAGCTCATTGCTTAACATGCATTGGAATATGGTTTAACCTAGGATCCAAAGTCGCCTCTACAGAGAACACCAGGTGCCTTGGACCTGATGGGCAAGTGGCACATTGGTCAAGTCTCTCCTGAGAACCTCCTCAGGCGATTTGCAGGCAGAGCTGTGAGATTAATTATGTAATGGCCATCGCTGGGGATTAGGCCTCGATCCTGGACACCTGGCACATGGCAGCCTCTGACGGAGCTGGTCAGTCGGGCCACATCTACCCCACTGGTGGAAACAAGTGTATTGCTTCTTCCATGGCAGACTGACTTTAGAGCAGTCATTATTTGCACAAAACACAAAAAACCTGCTCATTTGGAGTTTTTCCTCTCTAAAAGCTGAGCTCCCCTATCACAAATGAATTTGCTAAGTATGGAAACAAGATCTAATAGATCTAATTAGTGGTGTTTAAATCATGAAGACTTCTATGAATTCATGTGCATTATTGCTCAAACAAATCAAGGCTGATGACCATTGGAGAGGTACCCCGGGGATGGCATGTATAGAAGTTCTGGCTACCATGTGCCTCCATGAGGTTCTGGTGCCCATCTCTCTGGTTGCTTATTCAAATTCCATGAATAAGGGGCCTTATGTGGTATCCCTGTCCTCTGACTATAAAGCAAATATAAAGAGTGCTACAAATAAAGGAAGTTCCTCCTGGGCATGGGAGGAGGGTTTTCTCACCAATGCCAGAGTGCTGGTTGGCAAATGTATTCTCAGAAGCAAGTCAAGCAGGTGTGATGGCCGTGCCTACCTGTCCTGGCTGAGCAAGAGGGCCGTCAGGGTGGAGACCACTGTTCCCACACAGCCGTTGAGTGCCCACCAGGGGTTCTGCACCAGGAGTCCCACCAGAATCAGGATTCCGCTGATGGGGTTGCTGACAAACACCACTTGCGAGATGCCCCGAAGAACCCAGTCCATGAACTGGAGCACCACGGGTTTGTCTGGAAGACATGAGACGGGCCAAGCTGAGCAGCAGCAAGGCAAATGGCGCCCCTCCCCCCACCAGGAACCTCATCCAAACCCTCTCTGATGAAGGTGAGGCTAGTCTTTGATGCTCCTTGAAGCTTTTTTTGTGAGAGCTTTGCCCGTTAGTGGCACCCAGGTTCCTGGAAGCATCTGCTCACTTTATGCTGCCCTTTCTAGAATGTCAGCTCCAGAGAGCATCTAACACACTGACCATACTCAGAGCTATAGGCTTGAAGCCAAAGGAATGAACTACTACTAGTAAAATTGCAGTTTTTAAGAACTGAGATGAACTGAAAACAGAGACAGAACCAAGTCTCTTCCTGTAATAGGAGCAGGGTCCTGGCCTTGACCACCCTCTCCATTGAAGAAAATTGCAGGTGAGAAAATAAAGTTAAAAAAATGGAGAAAAGAGAGAAATAAAAGGGAGGGGTACAAAACTAAAGATATGAGTCAAAGGAACAGGTGGCCATTTCTCCCACCGCCACTTCTCCATCTCTCCTAGGATGGGAGCATAAATACCTTTAAGCCAGCTGGCAAATTCTCTCATATCCCCGGTAACATAGCCAAGTGCCTTGGGGAGGCACCGTCTTCCTTGCCATGATGCAGCCTGGCTTTCACCCCGGTCCATTTTAACCCTGGTGGGGCTGTCCTCCATGACTGTCTCCTCCTGTGGCTCCTTGGGGAAAGAACAGAGTTCATAAACACCCTCAGCCGGACAGCTTAGTGCGTACTGTCTGGTCACAGCAGCCAGAGAGGATGAGTTCAAAGGCATGTCCGGGCCATGACATTGCATGGGGCTCAGAGGGTACCACTTTATCTTAAACTGTCAACGTCACCCAAACCCAAATCCCATACTACTGTTGTCATCACTGTCTTTAATGCTACCATGAGAAGATTCTGGTCTTTAATTTCATAAAGTGTATTTGCTAGCTCAGCAAGTTTATTGAGCATCTACAAGTTCAAAGAGTTCAGTCTAGTGGAAAAGACTGAAAAATAGTTAATGTCAACAGAATGAGCCAGACAATAATACAGAAAGAGCTAAGATCAAGGGCTTAGGCTTCAGCTGTGGACGAAAAGGCCCGTCAGCTAGGAAATGGCCCCATCACAAGTACTGAGCAATCGGCTACTTTCTGAGACAAGCAGTTTGTTTACAATTAAATTTTAATTTACCAAAAAGGTATATTTTGAGAGGGAAGAAATTAAGCTTTTATGTGCCAGCAGCCTAAGAATGCCCTCATACACCTTCTGGGTCAAAGGTTGCTTGAAAGGTCTTTGCATCAGGCAACTGCCTCAGGCAGTATTTTTGGAATTTATTATGTCAATGTTTAAAAACAAGCAAAGGTACAGAAACTAGGGTGCAGACACTATCCACTCCACTCGTGTTCACTGTAAGATCATTCAATTCTCATGGTAAGTGTGCGGTAGGAAAGTACTCACCTTACCAGCGTATGTCACCTCTAGACAGAAATGGAAGTTTCATGTTGGGGGAATAGAATAACAATGATGGACTCCCAGTGGCAGGTGAAGGGAGAGGACAGTGAGCAAACCACCACGTGTGGCAAGGATAGCCAAGTGCACAGCCAGGTAAGTGTGAAGTGGGGAGCCCCCAAACCATCAGACTCCGAGGGCAGACCTGTGGAATGCTGAAGCTGCAGGTTCGCAAGATAGGGCCGAGGAAATGCCTGGGAACAAGCTGTGAACCAGGAGTTCTCGCTGCTATTTCTGGATCCACCACTGGTTTGGGCACCATCGCCAACAAACAATTAACATACAACCAAGTGAGGTCTTTTTGTCCCTAACACTCACCAAATTTTCCTTTCTATTAATCCCAGAGTGGAAAATCAATGTAGGTAACTGCTATTTGATTAACGATTATACTCCAATTGTGTTACTTCACTGCCCAACTAACCATCCTGTTTTCAAACAATGGTGAGCCATTAATCATTACACAGAGCATTTGTGTCCATTTATGCAAGGCATTCTGGACAACGCTCATTCTGCCTTGGCAAAAATAATGTTCCATATCAACATCTGTGTGCCTTTGATTGAAACTTTTAAGAAATTCTTAAACTGAAAACTGCTGGCGGTCAGAAATCAAAACTTGGCTCAGCTGACCCACAGCGGAACACTTAAAACTATTTGTATTATCAAGCAATTCTAAAACCAATTGGTATTTATTTCACAATTTGCATTGAGTGATGGCTATCATTTATTTTCAGGTAATTTCCCTCTTTAAATCTCATAACTGAAAATATTATTTCTTCTTCAGTTTTTCAAAGTCATGTCAACAAATAAAAGGCTTCGCAGCCAGGAAACGACCAGGAGCTCAGATACACCTGCCCCAAATTTCTATAAATGAGCAGATCAAGTCCTGGTGAGGCAGCACTGAGTGGAAACATCAACATGCATTTTGAGCAGCTACAGAGGCAATTAGGTATATGAGTTTCTCCAGGGAGCGAAGCTCACGGCTCTAAGTGTCTAGCACAGATTTATTTCTTTTAGAGGGTTTTTATAATATTGCCTAAGAGATTTTGGAGATACAGATATAAAACTTGATACTGTAACTGGCCTGACATGATATAGAACCTGAATGACCTGAGTTCCCTGACAACGCACCCTAAGTTAAATAAAGGCTGAACTATTTTTGTCAGAATCCACCCATCGACACGTAGGCTTATTGCCTTAAAGCCTCCATATCCACCTATTGATTGGGATATACTGTGGGGCTATCACGTCCTAGAGACAGGGGTCTTCTGAAGAATTGGGCAGACAGATGGCTGCTGCTGCTGGACCCCAGAATCCTGATCAGCTGAGTGGGCCCTTCAAGCGCCTCCAGGAGCCCTGGCTATTTGCTCCAGAGCTCACCGTGAGAAGTGATGACGAGGCGCCTGCGACTTAAGTTGTAGTTCACCTTAGAATTTTAGCACTGCTAGGTGATTTGCATCTCCAAGGCAAATTTAAGAACCTGCACACCCCAGTTGAGGGGCATAGTGCAGGGCTAATACAAAAGCTGCAGGATAAACTTAAATCCCACACTACTTTTTCCCAGCTTTTCTGGGTTGTCAGAACTCCACAGTTGCAATGTGGTGTGAAGCAAGAGTGCCTGTGTTTTTTTGGGCCAACCCCCCTGTGCCTCCGGCCCCCACAGCTCCACCGCTTAGCAGGCTTGAGGACCCCCTCCCAGGCTCCGTTCAAAGAGGCACAGCAGAACTTGGAGCGCAGGCCTGATTCCCAGAGACAGAGGCAGTGCCCAAGGAGCATACCTGTTCTGGCGGCCCATGGCTCAGAGCCATGTTTAGCCAGGCGAAGCCTCCGTATGCTGTCTTACCAGCTTTATTTCCAAAAGGATCTGTCCAAAGAGGCCCATGACAGGCATCACCAGCGCCGCCAAGCAAAGGCCGGCCATTCATTCTTCCTCTCTCTCCATATATGACAAAGGGCAAAAGTCCATGAATCAGCAGGACCCTCTCCCTGGCTCTCAGGAGCACGGGAGAAGGGGCCGGGGAGGAGGAGGCTGGGGTAGGAGCTGTGGCCCCAGACGGAGACTACTAAGAGGAGGCGACTTCTCCATGAGCTGAGAGACAGCTAGCTGACTGGCAAGGCGAACATACAACTTTGAAATAAGACCAAAAAAATGGAGGCAAACTCTCCTAACTGAAGACCCAGCACACAGATTTTGTTCCCTGTTTTCTCTCTTAGGATGTGGGTGGATCTGAAGTCGGGGGGTGGGGTGGGTGGGGGGGGGTGGGGGCTTTAGGCTCTGTAGCGCTCAAGGTAAATTGCTAACACCACCACAATCAACAATTCCCCTCAGCTTTGTCCCTTGCACCAGTGAGAGAGGGCAGGCGTGGGTTGTTTTCTGCAGTAAGATGCTAGTATGTCAGACTTCCAAGGTGGCAGAAGTTCAGTCTGAGAGACAGCTAAATGGCATTTTTCCTTGTATCTTAAATATTGGACATCACCTTGGATGGTCTTCATTGGATTTAAGCATGGCAGCTTTTTCTAAGTTTTCTAAAACTTCCATTGAATCCAAGGATATCATTCTTCCTTCAGAACTTTCAGAAAAGTTATCTGTGGGCTAGTTCTTATTCTCCCCTCACCCTTTTATTTCATTTTTATTTTCTCTTACTGGCTTGCTTGGAAACCTGAAAACTTACTCTACTGGAGTGAGTCAGAAAAATCCACAGCTGTGGAAAATATAACTGCTGTGTCTTAGCGACAAATTGTTGGCATGTGTGGCTTATCCATGGTTAACTACGGACTGCTTAAGTTCCGAACTGAGCTGTATTTGGGTGGCACTGAGTATATTTCTGTTTGATAAAGAAAAACATTAAGAAACCCAAGTTTTGAAAAAAACGTAAGAAAGATAAAGGAGAAGTGGGGACTATCACTTCCATCACAGTAGCTGTCTGCCCTTCCACCCCTGCATCGCTCTGGCCTCACCCCCTCCCCCAATCACACACATCTTGAAAATGACATTTTCGGGCTCAACATAAGCATTTTCTTAGAGCCAAGGGCTGGCAACATTTGAGAGTTAGGTGGGGCTTTTCGAGACCACATCATTTAGGCCTTCATCTAAGAGAAAAAGAAGAGAAAACCGAGGTGCACCATGGGGACCATCCAAGATCACTCAGCAGTCAGCCTGATGGAACAGGTGAGCCCCGTGCATCCTTGTCTCCCATCCTGAAGCCAAGAATCTTATTATTCAAGTCAACAAACAAGGAGCAGATTCTCAAAGCCAGGTCTCCGAGGTTACTAGGGATCAGTGAGGCAGCGGACAGTCTGTCTTTCGGCCACCTTGAAATGACCTTGGGCTGAGGAGCGGCAACCCAGGGCTGGGTCATGCCCAGTTTCACCCCGACCTTCGCAGCAGCAGTGATTTTTTTTTACTTAAATGAGCCTCACTGTCCTGCATCGCTGACCCATCCACAACAAAGCCTGGTGTGGGCTGAAGTTAAGACCCCACGAAAATTCTGGAAGCTGCACCCAAGGCACTTCCTAGAAGGAGTCAAAAAGCACCTTCGCAGCGAGGTCACTAATGAAATGGAACAGCACTCATCATTCCAATACAGGTAACACCAAGACTGCAATTCAACCAGAGGTCTCCCATGTCATTCTATGAAATAAAGCATAGTATTGCCAGCATATGTTAGACGTTTGTGCATTTGGAAAGACCTGAAAGTCTTCAGTTTTCTGTCTCAACTATCACTTTTAAAAAACAGTTTTAGAAATAAAAAAGAAATTATTTAAACATTCATGCACTTATCATAATAAAGGTACTTTTAGCATTAACATTCATTTGTACTTACAAGACTCTACTTCAGGCAGTTTGACTTTGGTAGGAAGGGCTCCGTTTTCTTTAAAGCTAGAATCAGAAACAAAGAAATGCTGTCAGCTCTTCCTGTCTCCTGAGCTGAACACTTCTGTCTTCCACACTCTGCTCCTAGGAGCCTTGGGGTCTAAATTCCACGCTGCAAGTGCGGTATTGCAAAGTTGCCTGAACGTGGCTTCCTTGTGACTGTCAGCGCGCCCCTCCCTTGGGCGTGACGGCGCACGCAGAAACGGCCGTAATTCATCACTGGAAGGGCCGTGCCCAGTACCCCACTCTTTTTTGAGTCACACTGACAAATCTCCAACTAAATTGTTTCAGGCACACAGCCGAAACTCCTGCAGCGTGGGCGAACTCAGACTCACTGAGCCACCTTGGGTGGACGCCAAACCCGCTTCCACGTGGCCTCAGGTGCTGCGCCCCCTCTCTGCTCCAGAACCCCAACAAAGACTTAGCTCTCAAGGTCCAGGAAGCAGCGTGTGGCTTCCAAGGGGCCTAGAAAGGTCTTCGCTGCTACCAGAACCCTTCTCAGTCCTGACCATCTGAAACGTTGTTTCCCCATTAAAAAGAAAAAAAAGGAAAGAATAAAACAAAAACAACAACTGAGAAAGGACAGTGGAAATGAATAAAAACGAGCAGGGTACTCACAGTGCTGGCTTCCCGGTGGCAGTGGCAGAAGGCATTGGCTGATAAAGCAGGCGGACTCCAGGGAAAGGGAGGTGCCGGGAGATAGTGCCGGCAGGGAGGCTCCTAACAGTCTTATACACAGAGCCCACTGGCGGTCCCTGCTCTTGGCTTTCTCCTCCCACTTCAGTCCCCAGTGCCAAAGCAGCCCAGGACTGGTCCCGGGTCCTGAACCTGATGTCTCTCTGTGTTCCTGGTACAGGGCCAACAACTTCCCACGCTTCCCCGGAGTCCCGAAGGCTCTGCCCAGCAGTGGCCCCACGCAAGTCCATCTTCTTCTCCAGGCTGTTTCCTTTACTCCTGCCCTTACCCTCAAATATTCCGGGGGGAGGAAGGGGGAAGGTTTGTAGCTGAAAAGTATCCATGAGTGCCGCGCATTAAAACCGGACGGGTGGATTGCTGCACGTGGACTCCGGACCCAGCGACTGCTCCCGGTGTGGAACTTTCTCTTAGAGGCAACCTTGTGCATACAGGTGTGGGGAATCTAAAAGCCCCGAGGGGGCGTGGTGAGAGTGGGGAGGGCCAGCAGGATACAATTTGTTTCTAAAAGTAACCTGCCCTTTTCCCTAGTGAAGGGGGAAACAAAGAGTAGAAAGTCCCAGGTGAGACTCCCCAGGACAAAGTCTGCTTGCTGCCTTTTGAGAGCCAGGAGGCAAGCATTCCAGACCAATCAAAATTTCCGGGGGGCAAACCTCCTTCTCCCTGCTTCTTAAACCACAATTCAGTGGCTCGTTCTGCTGTGGCAGAACTCTGACTCGGGCACTTTATGAGCACAGAAATTTAACAAACTAAGGAGCGGGAGTCTTCCCTCCTCTGCCCAGGGGCGCCCTCCCGCCTGGTGCTCAGCGAGGCAGCGGGAGACTCTCTGGCTCCACCCGCTGGACATCCGCCAAACCACAGGGTTCCTTGTCATCTGGGGCTCTCCCGCACCCCTGTGTGTGTGTCTGGGAGGGAGGCAGGGGTCCACATTCATCGTTAGAATTTTGAGGTTCAGGCAGATTTCCCTCCAATATATTTTTTCCTGTTAAAGTAAGGAGAAAAATAACCTCCGAGGTTTACCCTCGGAGAAAAGTGAATCGCAGCAGAACAGCCCATGGCCCTGGTATAGGTTTTGGGGTGCAAGGAATCTGCTAGTGTTTCCATAAATTCCTTATGTAAATGTACCACCATCCCATGCAGCCATAATCGTGGCGATGTGAAGGTCCGGGCAAAGGATTGAGGATTCACTTCACACGCTGGGCAGTGTGCTAAGACTTTGTGAACGTCAGTCATTTAAGCATCACAGTGATCCCAAGAGGAGAACCCCATTTTGCAGATGAGGAAATGGTGTTTTAAATGACCTGTCCAAGGTCTCACATCGAAGTTTATATGCTGGTGTACTCTAACATCGTCCAATGTTGCAGCTTCTCTCTAACCAACATGTGTTTCAGAACTCATCCTGAAGCCCCTTCTACATCTCAGCCTGCAGACTTTGCCTCAGGTCAGGGCTCTGAGTCTCAAGTCTTGGCAGGACCTTGTTCTCCTCTACTCTTCTCCTTGGCCTCTCTCAGTATGCCTTCGGAGGGGGTTCACAGCTTTGCTTGACGGCATTGTAAGGCAGTGTGAAGCACTTGGAATTCCAAGCCAGACACACCTGAGCTTGAATCCTGGCTGTGTGACCATAGGTGTGCCACTCATCCCCTCTGATTCTCACTGTAAAGTGCACAGCTGCCTTTCTAAGGCTGTGGTGAGGTTTTTGATGGTCTGTCTAACAGACCTGACAGGAGGAGGGGCCATCATTCCAGCGACTGCCCCTTCCATCAGGATTGGTTTGTTCTCGAGGATTCCTTAAAGGTTCCCTCTAGCCTCTCCCCGGCCTCCGCAGCAGAAGGACAGAGACAACCAGTGGGCAAGAGCCCGGCTTGGCTTCTACATTCTCATCTTTCACTGCAAGAGCCCAAGGCTGCTGCTGCCCGTGGCTGTGGCTTTGCAGAGAGCCCTGAGCTGGAGATGAGATTATTACCCCATAATGAGAGTCCACGTGGGCCCCAAGCCCTCGTGGGTGCTGTTAAACAGCCTAGCAGCACAATTTAGTGACTTTTTCTAGTTCTTTCTCCAGTATCCCCCCCCCCCGTATCATTTACCAAGCAGTATTTGCTGTGTGTTTCACCTTCCTCCCCACCAACCAGAGACTTCTTATTCTGAACTCATTTCCATACTCCATTGGTACAGTCACAATATTCCCTCCTCTTTGCATTCTCGATTGAGTTTCTGCCCAGAAAGTTCTCTCTACCCACTCTGCCAAAATTCTTCCACCACTTTCTTTCCTCCTGTATCTGGAATGCCAGCGGGCTCCTGTCCGCGGCGCATGTCTGGGGTCTTTAGCCCTTTACATCCGTTTCCTCATTGCCCGGGGGTGCCCACAGCCAGCCCCCTCTTGGCCGAAGTCTGTTACCATCTCTATATTCACGTTTTACGCTTCCAGGTCTCAAGGGACTAGACGGCAAGGTCAGAGTCTAAAAGTTCTCTTTATATTCATAACAGATCTTTTTCTTGCCAGAAAGGTTTTATGGAAATTTATCAAATAGGAGATAAGAACCAGATGAAAAAACGGGGGAGAAGGAAGAACAAAACAAAGGATAAGGATCTAGATATTTTTTCTACAACACCTTGCTGCTGCAGTATGTTGGACTCAGAAATGATTCCGACTCTGTCATTTGGTTCACGGCTTGCTCTTACTCTGTGCACAGGCAGCTTAAAAATAATTTGCACCATTAGTGTAACCAGGCGAGGCCCGCACCGGGGAATTCTCCGGGACAGGCCATTGCAACAGCTCTCCTGCATCCTGAGCACGGCTTTTCTAAATGGAGAGAGACAGCTGAGGGGAAAACAGCCTTGGTCTTTTATTCTTGTCCTCCCACCCGGGCGAAGCAAAGACACAGGTCCGGGACACAGCGTTCCTCTGTGGTGTGTTCTGAGCCCAGAACGTCTTGGTTTGGTAAACAGCCAGACAAAAAGGAACCAAAGAGAGCCCAAATGCCTAGTGACCCAGAATGCCACCCGGGAGTGGCAGGCATTCCCTGGATGTGGGCCCAAGGGGCACGCAGCCATGTGGGGCACCAGCTCCCACCCTCCACCACCTGCACTTGCCAGGGAGCATGGGGATACGTGATGTCAGGAGGCCTCACGGCGCCTATGGTTTTAGCTCTTAAACACAGTTGTGTAGTTATTCAGCTCCATTTAATAGCTGGTTGTTCCTTCTGCACACAGAGGAAGGGAGAGGGCATCTCCACTTTCTCCTCTTATCTGATGCCACCATGCATCTCCTTTCCAGCTTTCATTTCAAACCCCTCATGTAGACCTCCACCGATACCCTAGACATGTGGCTATTTATCACAACGAAACTTCTGCAGGCGGCACGAACATACCTTGAGGAATGGGGCGTTGGGGTGTCTCTTGGCACAAAGGGCCATATTGGCGAGCAATGGTTTTGCTGGTGTTTTTGTTTTTTTCAGCAATGAAAAAAAAAATCCTATGAGGGACAGCAGGGAAAAAGGTAGGAGTGAAATCTTTCCAATCCCTTTGGACTAGGTTGAGGAAGAAGTTGAGTTTGGGGGGAAAACAAGAATTGCGGACTGGTGTGCTCCTGTTTCCCTACTACCTCGGAAGAGTAATTTACAACTCATTAGATGGTTCCTGCACCATTAATGATATCATGATATTGGCCCCAAGCTTGGAGAGTCAAGCTTTATTGGATAATTAGGCTGGGAGGAGAAGGCAGAATGGCCTGGAACTGCTCTGGGTTGGGAGCTGGCCAAGAGATAGGAGGACTTGCAAAGGCATGAGCCCCCAGGGGTGGAGTGGGATGCACTGAGAACCTGTTCAGCAGACCTCCAGGACCCACATTACTCCTAAAGGGTGTGGTGCCCAGAGCCAGTATTAATGGAGCCAGAAGCTGCAAGGGGCAGGTGCAGCTCCTTGCGGGTGCAGTGAGGCCAAACAGGGACCTCACAGATGTCCCAACTGGAGGCATACAGTTGGCTACACAGAACTGGCTACATAGTTCTGTCAGGTCAGCCTGATTAAAAGACTCTTCATGGCTCTCAGAAATGCCCTTGCCTGACTTCAATTGGCAGCCAAATGCTAGAGAGGGGTGAGAGTCTCCTGGCTCTCAACTCCCCGCCGACCCCCTTCTCTCTGCTGTTGGCATTCCGCAAGGCTAGGTGGGGGCCAAGGCAGAGCGACCTACAAAGCAAATTGTGCAGACATAGCTGATCAGTTGTCTTAAAGCTGGATCATGTTGCATCCTTAACTTCTTGAGGAGGTAAACTGAAGTCTTACGATTTGAGTGACCACAGATTCATATCAGAGGTTTCATGTTTCTCATTCTAGTAACAGTGACTTAGAAATGCAATTGTGCAGGGAGACTCCTATAGACAAGGAGAATTCACCCCCGATGCTGCATCCTGACTTTGAAGAAGAAATCTGGTTCCATGTTTTATTCAAAACTAAACCCA